TTTTGTCTTTTAACTCTCTTGGGAATGCTTGCAACCCATCAATATTGACATATCAGTTTCCTACCTTCTCTCTTAGAAACATCCTCACTCTTGAACATTTTCTCTGAGGTGTTTTCAAATGAATTCCTCTTTCTGCTAGCCATGGAAACAGTGACACAGGCCACGACGACAATGAACATGTAAACTGCCTTCATTTTAAAAAGAGTGTTCTGAACAATACGAAATCTAAAACAGAAACAAAGGATATATACAGTCATGTGCCCATCCATTCTTCGAGTCGGTGTCGTCAAATAAGTGTACTATCATACTGGTTGTGCTACGTTTTCAAATGAACCAAAAGAATGTACGATTTAAGGGATTTCAGAGCAAATGTAACATGCACTCTTTAATAATTAATGTATCGCTTTTATATTTTTTCAATAAACGGTTAAGGTAGTCTGAAGTGTATATTTATCGGCTCTAAACGCAAGAATACGACGCAAATAAATTTAGCCACGTTATGCTATGATTAATATATTGTGCAGAAAACCTGGTAACGCACAGGGAAGAGTGAAATGAGAAATATTATTAAAAACCGAAATTTTGCTCGGAATAGTGTCGTCCTACTAAAATGTGCAAAATAACGACATTTCCTTACCTACCTCTTCGTAAGTACGATATGATGTAGTAAGATAACGTGTGGGTTTGAGATCCAACTTCAAATGACTTAGATTCAAATCAGCACAGACTATATACACGTATCAGTAATATCAATCAAGTTCAATGAAGCATTGATGCATGCGTGTTCGTAGTTTTCGCGGTATAATTTGTCGCGATTTTCTCTGGAGTTAATTTTTAACTGTTAAAATTGTACTTTTGCTAGCGATTTCGAAAACGACGCCCTGAAAGAAAATACTTTGAGAGAGACTCATATTCTATGATATCTGCATGCAGAGTTTTTTAGACAATCAGATGAATATTGCCATTTTCAACCACGTTGGAACCATAAAGGCCACATTAAAGAAATTATTTTGAGCGCCAATTCTACGGTACTCAAATAGCGCTGAAAGTCAGTAAAATTAATGATGGTAATTGAACTGAGTGGAGTACTTGCAATTTGGACCAAAATCATACGAGTGATTACAAAATTGTACGACCGCGTAGCTTACTAATCAGTATAATATAAATTATATATTTGCACAAACTAGCGCCAATAAGACCATTTTAGATTATCATTTACTAGGAAAAACCCGTAATTGATGTTGGGGAAACAAGTGCTATATGTGTCACTCACATATAGCATTAAAAAAAAGCATATAAAGTTCCAGAAAACGTGGTCTTGCAATGAGCCTGAAGCGAGACGACGTTTTACCCCCGTCTCTAGACCATAATCATTTTCATACTGTTTTTGTTCTTTAATTACGACTATTGTTCCTGTATTCTCTAAGGAATCAAAAATTTTAATATGAAAGAATTTTAAAAATTGTTATGGTATAGAGTCGGGGGTAAAACGTCATCTCGCTTCAGGCTTATTAAATCCATTTTCCCGCTCTTTTTGGTTCTTCAGGGAGACGCAAGTACAGTTGCCTAAAGCCAAAGTTTTGCGATCTTCTCTACTTATTAGCTAAGAAAATTTTCAACCGTATGCATTGCTTTATGAGAAGTACCCAAGGAAGAAAGCATTATTGAAAAACCACTTTTTAGCGTAGTTTGAAATTCTAGTACTGATCCACAAATCAAATTGAATAACAAATATATAATATATTCAGATATTTAATATAGATAAAGTGCAACATTCACGTGCTGGACGAAATGTCGATATTCCACAATTAGCTATGTTAGTTGGCTATGCAGTCAAGAAAGACTCATACACGACATCTAGGAACGGACAAGCTAGACGTATATAAATATAGCTTTCTAAAAATGGTTCAAAAACTTCGCCTTGATAGAACAGTGGGCTTAGATAGCTTTTTTCAAAATTGAAACTAGGGGCGCATTAAGTCAATACGAAATATGCTATATAAGAACTTCCTTCTACCACGTTATGAAATAAAGACAAAGCATTGTTATTTTCATTGAAACATTTGTTAACAGTAGGGGTGCATAATCATTTTGTTTTTAATTTTTGGTTGAGAATTAAAAAGATAGGAATACAAATTTGGACGAAGTGATCACTTACATCAGAAACAATATTGCCACTAATCTGAAAGCTGTCTAGATCGTTGGAAAAGATATCATCAATCAATGTTGCTGAGTTACCATATACACGTGTTGGTTTATCAATTGTAGGGAAAAAACATAAACTTTGCGTCAGGTCTAATAACGTTTGACTGTATGAACATGATTCGTAATGCAAAAGATCTATATTAAAGTCATCCATAACAATAATATTTTTATTGTTACGAGATAAATCTTCTAATGTAGTTGATAAGTATTCAAGGCAAACCTCTGCATTGTCACGTTGTCTATATATTTACAAAGAAAGCGACACCTCCAGCAGAAAGAGTTGTCGGCGCGAACTCAAAACAATAGCCAGGTAACGAGGGAATAAAGTCAGCGTTGTCTGAATTGCAAATTAATTATATTTTTTGTGAAACCAATTCAACTAAATTCTATATTTAATTCGCTTAATATTTGGCTCTGAAATTCTTCAAAATTTTTCTTTAGTCTTCTTATGAGTTATACTAAAGCAGTTGGAGGACGAATTCATGCGTTGCATTTTTTCAAACTTTTAGTGGCGAGAAATATTTTGATTTTGGCAGTTTACATAAATAGCTTTCCTCGTGGCATATATTTATATCATTTCTAGGATTTAGATTAAATAAATTAAGGTCATATAAGTTAGATAAATTTTCTAATGATTATCAGTAAAGTATTATTAGATTTTATTTTTTTACCTCTGCATTGTTATGCTGTCTATGATGCCACATATTGTGTTCTCCTTTTTTGTATTGAAAATTTCTATCCAAATAGAGTGATCACACCACACTAAATCCGTGAAACAAATACAAATTTTTAGCACTAAATAGCGATAATTAAACAATAGAAAACAAAGGATTCTGTATGAAATAGTACTAATTAGTACTATTTAATGTTCACAGTTTTAGTGCGTGCACTCTATTCTATACTTAAGTTTAGTATTTATAAAGAAAGCGACACCTCCAGCAGAAAGAGTTGTCGGCTCAAAACAATAGCCAGGTAACGAGGGAATAAAGCCAGCGTTATCTAAATTGCAAATTCTAGTTTCTGTGAAACCAATTAAACTAAATTCTGTATTTAGGCCCCGTCCACACGTACCCGCAAATTTTTGTATCCGCAAATATTTTTTTACGGATACGGGTTGCGTCCACACGTGTCCGCAAATTTTTGTGTCCGTAACCGCAAATTTTACGAAAACGAATACGTGTGGACGGTGAAAACGATTCGAATACGCTGCGTGTGGACGCAAACATTTTCGTATCCGCAAAAAATAATTTGCGGATACAAAAAATTCCGGATACGTGTGGACGGGGCCTTAATTCGCTTAATATTTGATTCTGAAATTATTCAAAAATTTTCTTTAGGCTTCTTATGAGATATACTAAAGCAGTTGGAGGACGAATTCATGCGTTGCATTTTTTTTTAAACTTTTAGTGGCAAGAAAATATTTTGATTTTGGCAGTTTAAATAAATAGCTTTCCTCGTGGCATATATTTATTAGAGTAGGATTTAGAGTAAATAAATTAAGGTCATATAAGTTAGATAAATTTGCTAATAATTATTTAAGTATTATTAAGTTTTATTTTAGTAAGCTTATTTTTTGCTCACCTTAACCAGTTTTCAAGTCTGGGTTTTATATTCTTGTTTTGTCCCAAAAAAATCGGGAATCTCCCGAATTTGGATTTCAATGAGAGACATGCAAGGTAAATTTCACTAAACCTGATATTGTATTGGATTATCTGTAGTTAGCTTTCGTTGGTTTAAGTAAAATTAATCAGGAATTCAAAGCTAAAAATGTCGGCCATGGAAAACTTTGTCGAAGAATCTACCAAGAACAAAACTAGCCCCTGGGGGTGGTGGTGAATTGTGTACAAAATTCCTTAGTGGGAGAGTATACTCGCGCAAAGAAAACAATGTAGTGCATTTAGATTCAATTTCACTGCATGGTTTTTATTATGGGAGAAATTATCTTCATTTCGAATAAAAATAATTGAAGATTTTTTTCACGATCTTATTTTTACCCTTCAGTTTCATTCAAATTGGGCTCTCTATGACTTGCGTCGAGCGGGAGCTCCGCTTTTAGGCAGTGCCTAAATATATGTATGATGGTGTGTAGAAAACCTAGTAACGTACAGGGAAGAGTCGAAATTTGAAAGATATGATACAAAACGAAATTTTTTCTCGGAATAGTGTCATCCTTTAAGATGTGCAAAATAACGACAAAAGTAAATGTAAGCTAAAAAAAGATTAATTATATGATTAATATATAATTATTAATGCCACGGTATTTTATAATTATATAGTATATATACGAAAAAAAGCATTTCCTCGCCTACCTCTTCCTTAGTACGATATGATGACGCGTGGGTTTCAGAGCCGACTTCAAATAAATTGTATTCAAATCAACACAGACTATATACACGTATCAGTAATATCAATCAAGTTCAATGAAGCATTGATACATGCGTGTTCGTAGTTTTCGCGGTAAAGTTTGGCGCGATTTTCTCTGGAGTTAATTTTTAATCGTTAAAAGTGTACTTTTACTAGCGATTACGAAAACGACGTCTTGAAAAGAAAATACTTTGAGAGAGACTCATATTCTATGATATCTGCATGCAGAGTTTTTTAGACAATCAGATGAATATTGCCATTTTCAACCACGTTGNAATGACATAAAAGCAAGGTCCGAACTCTTCTTTCAAAGTAGGAAACCCAACACAGCAGTAGACAGGACTAGTAACCCAATGAAAGTCACACCAACAGGTAAGGCTGTCGATCCTATGCAAATGGTTAATTTAATCATACATTATATTCTGGTTTTGTCACAAACTGTTCCTATGGACTTGTACAACGATAGTATTTTCCCCACCAGTAGTAGTATAGGGGAAATCAATACAGTCTTTTCACATGATCAAAAAAACTTACAGTCAATCATTCTTGTGTCTGTTAAGGGAACTGAAAAAAAATAACACGAAAAATTTTAAAATGCCCTTGATTCTCGGAACAAGGTATGCAGTTATTTTGATGTTGGCGTTGGTGTTGGCGTTGGCGTTGGCGTTTCTGTTACTGTTTCTTTTTTTCCAGAAGGAGTTGGTGGAAGATAAAAAAGAAATCAATGACATAAAAGCAAAACTTACTTGATGTTGAAATTTCAATTCGAAGAAAATAAATATTGTATTACATGCAACATGCAATAGTAGGATAACAAGTATGTTCAAATTAAAGGCATTCTGGATGAAGAAACAAACAACAAGGCAATCAAATAATAATTCGTTTAAAAACAAACAAACAAACAATAACAAAATGTACTTGTTGTCAAAAATGTAAGAATGTAACACAGATAAGCCTTGTCTGGATTTTACCTTTTTTGAAATCAATATCCGTGTTTGTTTAAAGTACAAGATAAAACAAGGAAGAGAAAACTGATAATAGAGAAAGAAAAAGAGAGTCTAACAGACAAACGTATTCGTACCTTTTGGAGAACTGAGTGGTGGGGGGTGTGTTGATATGGTTGTTGGAGGGTGTGCTGGAGGTTCTGTTGGACTGACAAAATCTGAATTTACTTGGAACCCTGCAAAATTTCCATCACTTATTGCTTGCAGAATAGGTTGCTTGGGATCCAAGGTATTTGTGGGCCATCCTAACTCTACCACAGCTACAACACTGCCATTTCTACGAAGTAGAGACCGGTACATCATATATTGAGTATATATAAAATTATATGACAGCCTTAAAATTAACAATTAATATTAAAGTAACAATAATAACTAGTGAATATGATAATGATAATGATAATGATAAATTATTTTTATAGCACCCTTTCTATTTGGATATAATCAAAGGCGCTTTTATGCAATTTACAAGCATGATTGATGGTTAGTATGAAGTGTAGGCACTGAGAATGGTCACTGCCAGGGTTTCTTTACGTCCTCAKTGGTTCTTTTACGTCCCTATGTTGGTTAGTAATGATGAGTGTTGAGATACCGGACCGCCATTTAAAGTGGTCATCGATATCCGAGCCACTTGAAAGTCTAACCATTTGCAGATGTGATTTCAAAGGCAGCACTTTCTCCTCAGTTATTTTAAGATCCTGAGTGTTGGTCTGGCCGGGACCCGAACCACGACCTCCCGCACGAAAGTCCGATGCTCAACCAACTGAGCCAACCGAAATGCTCCAGGTATGCTGCTATTATGCATAATTCAATTTGATTTTCTAATAACTACAATATCAACTCAAATTTATTTTACCGTAAATCCTCTATTTAGCCCCCCGAGGGGCTTATTTATTTCAGGCACGTTTGAGGGAGGGCGTATTGGAGAGAGGGGGCTTAATTGAGAGGGGGGGGCTTATTGATTTAGTCGAAACGCAGTAAGTTGTATCATAGTTAATAGTAA